TTTTTTTTTTTATTTTTACATTTTATATATCTTCTTACTTGTGTTCCAAGTGTCAGCAATCTTCGGGTAATTCGTATACATTCATAGCGTTTTCCTTCTTCTCCACTTTTTCTTTCTACTCTTTATTAATATGCTTCTTTTCTTCTTTCTTGATTGTCTACTTGAATTTGTTGTCAAATAGCATGTCTTTTAATGTATGATAAATGTGAGAGAACGTGTGTGAAATAGAGCTGAAAAATTTGCATATTCTTTTGCGTAATTTATATCATTATTTCTTGTTTTATATTTGTTTTATATTATTTCTGTTATTTTTTATTATAAACCCTATGTTGCTACAGTTTTATGCGAATCTTACTTGTTACCTGATTATATACATAGATTTAATGTCAGTTATGTATAGTTCATAATAGTTATGTGTTATTCTTTTGGAATCATTGAACTTTATAGGCAACAAGTTGAAAAAAAAAAATGATGGATAAGGCGGAACACATTTATTTTTGTGCTCTTTGATAACGCTATCGTAAACTGTTACCACTTTACGTTTCCATCGCAGCCATTATCGTTATCGTTGTCAGTGGTATCAACAGTATTGTTCAACACATTTGCATCACAAAAAGCATATAGCATTTGTCTTGGCATTTTCTTTACTTTTTTTTCAGTGATTATGCTTATGTATTTACTCAAACACACAGATGAAAAATAATTATAAAACAGACAGACATCGACTGTAAGAACAGTCTTGTTGGAGTTGAATTTGTAAATACTGTCCTCGTACGTGTATGCTATACTTAGTTCTGTAGTTGGAGTGTCAGAAAAAGAGAAAAATCTTTTAGTTTTTCATTGTTTTGTACGAAAATTTTCTTGTATTCTTATTGTTTATTGGAAGCATTACCTTATGATTTTCTTTGTTTTTTTTGCTAAGTTATAAATTATTTGTCGCAGTTTCTTATTTCGCTGTACTTTTTTCTAGCTGTTTCGTCCATGTACGTATCGAAGCATTTAATTAGTGGTGAAAAGTTGTTAGCTGTTGTCGTAGCTGTTTATTGAAGTTTTTCGATGATTTTTTGTTGTCTTCTTTAATTTTTCTGCTCTTTTCTATCTTATTAGAGAGAAGTCGAAAATACTGTTATTACGGAACGAAAGTGAATTTATATAACGCATGGTTTTTTTGTCACTTCGTAATGTCTATTTTCTTGTTTTATGTATTACTGTTGTAGTCTTCAGTTTTTGCCTAGTATTCTGTCAGGCCGTTTTAAT